GCATTACAGCTCGAGAATTCAATTGTTATCCCAACCAGTTGATATCAATTTAATTCCTAAGAGTTATGTACTTGTTTTGAATATCTAATGTAGAAGTTGTAACCAAGTTCACTTTACGAAACGGTCTAAATGAATGTTATACTGAACGTATGTCCTCTTGATATGTGTAACACTTTGTAACTGATTGAATATATATCTTTTGTATTCTGATAACCCTCTCGATAAGATCTGTTAGTTTTACATGCATATTCTATGTATTAATAAATGTATCCTCGTGTATTAGTACCTGTGTGTGCGCGTTGTTTGAGTTATGTCGCATGGTTGGATTCTAAAGCCATCAAAAGAATCAACTTTGTGATTTACTGCTACAATTAATAATTGTCTCAGTAAATGCCCAAACCCTACAGAACTGGTGCCTTCAGAGAGCCACTTTTCTTACATATTTGGCGTCCCTGAACCGGTTTTCCCTACAATGTTTACCTTTAAAATAAAATTGACAGATATTAAGTGAAGACATAATTTTATATGTGAGATTAACTTAATTTTAATTACTGTCACAGTGCATTTTAGGAAATGAATATGAAAGTTTCAAAAAAGGGAAATGAATATGAAAGAATATTAGACCTAAAATGAAAAAAATATTGTGTTTGAATGAAATGATATTGCATTTAAATGAGATAACTTTCCTTTTAAAAGCAATAGGTCAATGAGCATTGTGTTTAAACACAAGATAATAGATGAGTTTAAACTATTAATATCGATAAACGAGATAATATCACAATATTATCTTGTTTAAACATAAACACATATTTGTATCGATGGCACTAATAAGCTTCCCTAGATGAAAGCATTAAGGACATATTTTACTATGGAACGAACAAAAAATTAACATACTTTTTCATGACCTTTCAGTATTTAATGAGTAATGGGAAAGTGACAAGCTACTGTAGAACCCACATACTGTACTGTATTTCACTTGAACAGTAAATTATATTGAGAACAATTACAGATGTGACGGTGCCATTGCACTATTCTAGTGTGTTTGGTAAAAAATAAAAAATAAATTGTACTGCAGGTTTTTGATCACGAAAGAGGGGGTGGGACAAATAGAGCCTTTTAGTGTTTATAAATCAGACAAGATGAGACAGTTATTAGAAACAACCCCTATCTTGAACTTCCAGACTACAGCCAGTAAAAGGCGGGTCTTTTAAAGGATGATTTAGCAGTGTTACTGTGACAAAGTGCCAGTGCATTACCTCGTCATATGACTTCTTTTAAAACCTACCACAAACCTATTACTCTATTGTCCTTAACTTGTAACAAAACTTTTGTTTTGTATTTTTGTGTACATTATTGTAAATGTGTTATTCTACGGTATGTGGATCCACAGTCTTGTCCTGATCTGTGGTTAGTCATTGTTTAGTCTATTCTGTGTGATGTTACTGTGCCTGTGTGAGTGTAATTGCCTGGGATTGTAAATATTTTGGAGAAAAAAAACTTTTTTGTAAGACTGCAGTTTACTGCTTTTTTTTAGTGCTTTTCTCATTTTGAATATTCTTCTGTAAAGCATAGTTCAAGTAAACAGACACCTTATTGCACTGCCCTTTTATGACATCTGTAACCATCCCTGAGTTTACTTTCAGGTACAGTAGTTTCATCACAGTTATACTATTGTTCAAACTGCTACATGGTTGAGTCAAATACAGAATTACTACATTTTGTCCCCTGTAGTTAGAAAAGCTCAATGGGACCTTGTTTATAACATAGAGCGGACAGTAGCATTACCGACCTGTAGCTTCATCTCAGAAAGGCTGTGCCTGCTTGTTAATGGAATGGGAGATCCTCATCTCAATGGGAGAGGAAAACCAGGTTGCTGTGTAAAATTGTATTAGTGATTGGCATTCTTCCCTCTGGATCTGAATTTTCAAACAAGTCATGACGTATGGCAGCACACTGTGCTAGGATTTGGGATCTCTGGAATGAGACATTGCACCTGGTATCTGGGTTACTTGGTCATTGAGATTCCCTGGGCACTGTAGTAAGAATAAATGTTTCTTTGAGTTTTTATAATCTGACCTCTCTAAACAGGTCTGTACTTATATTGAAGTAAATTCTCAATTCCCCTGATCGGCTGTGTAAGGGGGCCGCAGGTACACAATGGCTGCCTCATCTCCCAGATGGGAGCTGCACTTCAGTGACGAGGGATATGGGTCCTCACCTTGTTGTTTTATTAACCTATTTGTTTTATTAGAATGGCTTGGTGAACACACTAGAAACTGATCTTAATACAGATACTTTAAGAAATACTGTAATACAGAGACAGTGTTACTAACACCTCCTTGTTGAGGAGAACAAATGAAGTTTGCAGAGTCTTAAGCTGATACCTGCAGAATACTGTCGTTTTTTGTTCTCAGCACACATTACTGACTAAAAGATTCAAAGCAGGCATTCTTTGAGACAAACAGTACTATGCTTGAGTTCTTGGCACCAATGCTGAGATAATTCAAGACTTGCTGATAAGGCATAAGAAAGATGAAGGTACTCTGGTTTCATTGTTTAAAGAAAATTAACACTTCCAAATGGCCAAACTCCTAATTTCTTTTCATGTATCTGTTGTGGTGTTCTCATTTTTTAACTTCCAAATGGAATTACCCAATCAGCTAATAAAAGTTTCAGCAATGGCTCAACTTAAAAAAATATTGCATTATTCTCCCTTGCGCTGCAATCAGCTTTATATGGGAAACCCAACAGAATAAAAATGTTTGAGTGTTGCAAACATTATCTAGGAATAGTTTAGAAATGTTCTCATTTGGAGAAATACAGCAGCATCCAATACGCCTCGCGCCTGTCGCTGGCTGGTTTAGACTGTGGCTCCCCCGTAGCCCTGGACTCGAATAAGTGGTTAGAAAATGGATGGATGAACAACATCGTCCATCCAAAGGCCGTGTTAGATAACCTATGCATGCAGACAATTGCAAGGGGGTAACTGAATTGAGTTTTCTTTTATCATTCAAATATTATCCACTTACTCTTTTCATTCAAAGGCTTCAGAACATCCTCTCTGAAAACCTGGACATGAACCAGTAGGCATTGATAAACTCTATACAAAAGGGAGTGTTCTCTTGCTTTACACCTGCAAGGAGTCTTCAGGTGGAGAGTCTGCTGGTATGGTGCTTCGGTGACCATATCTTTGTGCTGAAAGCAGACTGAGCTGGGAGGTTTCACTCGCTTAGAGCTAAAAGGAAGCCATGAGCTAAGAACATATCTACCCTAGTTTTACAAGGTCAAGCCTTCAAGTTTGATTCTCAATATTTCAATATTTAAAATCATACTGACAAGTCTAAAGTTTAAAGACAACATAGTCATGCATATTTGCATGTATTGTCATTACAGACATAACCTTGTAAAGCCAAGATATCAGAAAAGAAAGTATTATTGGAATAAAAAAATATAAGCTTGAAATTTAAAAAATGTAATAAAATAGGAAAGATTGCAAAAGAGTGGCATACTGATACTAAAGGATTGATACCACTACAGTTGATGGGCACAATGTTGTTAGTAGTTTATTATTCTAAGAATTCTACCTGTACCTTTTTAAAAGATTCCACAGAGCTTCAAGTACATGGAAGTTGTTTCCAGACACCCACAATCCTCTGTGTGTTTTTGGTTAGTTCAGCAGCACTATTTGTTTTCTGTATTTTGACTTAATTGGTGCTAATCTTAATTTGTACTTGTGTCCCTGCTGACCTTAATGTCCCCCATGTTGACTTGGTCAATGCTTTTCAGGATTTTGAATCCCTAATTCAAATCACAATCCCAATGTAATCTTCTGGGTTTTGGTTGAAAAATACTAAGTTTATTTATCCTGTCTAGGAATGTCATTCCCTTCAGGCCAGGAAGTGTAGTTGCTCCCCTTTACACTGAAGTTACAGCAGCAATATCTTGCTTTCTTGTAACCTGAAAAAAACAGTTTTAGGGAGAGAAAGCTACAGAACATTTACTACTCAGCTGCAAACAAATGTATTACATGCTTGTGCTGCAAAAACAAAAAGTACTTCCTCTTGACATTCAGACAGCTTGGTAATTCAATATCAAGTAGTTACTGCTGAACTATGTGCAAGGTGTGCAAATGGCAAATATTTTGCTTATAACGTACAGAACTAACTCTAGCACAAGAATATTGTACAGTGATACCACAGATGTTGCACAAATGAACTACTGGAGTAGTAAGCTAAAACTGCTTTTCAAGTCTGTATGGAGGACGGTGAGTCAATGGCTCCAAGTATATCTAAGAAATAAGACACCTAGAGACAGCTAAAAGAAATATTGATCTGTATATTATTCAGCTGGTAATTAGAACTGACTAATGGAGCACTTTGAACATTTTGTATTCACAGTTATAGTGGTTTATCTTTCTCAGGGTTTCCATGTTTTTTTTACAGCAGAACAGAATACATTTTGGATCCCTTGAAGGTCTTTGGTAATTTCAAGTACATAACAGGGTCTTTCTTGGATGTACAGTATGTTTTCAGTGGTGGAGTGCCAATATGATTTCAAAATTATATCCAAAAAGTAGGACAGTTTGAGGGCATCATTAGCGAAAGCTAATAAGGCAGATGAAAACTCTGTTAAATGCTGCAATTATTTGTCAATACAGCTTGCAGGACTGAATACAGCATACTGTACCTCTGACAGATAAATTCTCTCATGTGCTGAAAACCAATGTACACCTCCCTGAATTAAACCAAGCAGAAATGTAAAAGACACACACAATCTTTCTCAGGAGTAGAGTTTGACAGCATGAGTGATCTTGTATAATATTGCCCATTTATGCAAGAGATCTAGCAGCTAAATTAGATACTGAAAGCAGGCTCATAAGATGAGAGTTCTGTATAGGATTCTATCATATTAAATCTCTTGCATTATTTCTTTTTGTGTGGAGGTAACTGATGTAAGCAAATGCTTGCAAAATCAGCCTCAGAGTATCCAGGTCTCTGTACCTGTAGTGGCGTGTATCTCGGAGAGCGCGGTTGCTGGGTAGCCGTTCACACTCACGCTGGTTAAAGGCATATAATTTGTATGGATCTTGGCCGGGCTTCCATCTTCGGGCACTAAGGTAGTGTTTCTCTTCAAACTGGTCCAGGAGGTCATCCCAGTCTGCTTCTGAAAACTGAAACCCAATACAGGCAAGTACTTTATTAGGAGAACCACTTCCACATTTTGAAGCTTTGCTTTTAAAATGTATTTGTTTCAGTTGGAACAAAGATCTACCTTATTAACTAGCAATTAGTCGTATACTGATGTTTTTAAAGTTCTCCCCTAGGAAAAGCTGGCTGGTGCAGTGGCGAAGATGATTAAGTAATTATTTCTGAGAATATGGCAGCCTTTCTTGGCAAAAACTCCTTAATGATCAAACACGTATAACTGGAAAGGGGCACGTTGTTTTGAATCTGCTATATGAGATATGCTGAACACAATATGTTCTGTTATTTATGCTTTTTGTTTTGTTTTGTTTTTTTTAAGTATATTTTGTTTGTTGTATTACTGTTTTTCCTTTGCTTCAATATGGAAATAGGAAAATATTAAAACATTAAAAACAAAGTGTTAGACATTAGTGAAATATAATCCTACATGAAATAAATGTTTGAAATCAATGATACAAAATGCTAAATGTAGTTATATTTTTCAATTTAAAACTTACAATAATTTAAAAAGTGCAAACATACTGCAGTGACTAAAACAATCCTCAATGTATGTTTTCTTTATTATGTTGTCTAGTGAAAATCCAGCCAATGCAATATTTAGACCAGAAAAATCCATTTGACCCTCTTTTTATAAGAAATCATTAAAGATTAAAAAGATAGGTTAGTGATTATTGAGCAAGAACACATGACTCATTTTCTAGGACAAGTTCAGTGGTAGAGAAATACATAGCAAAGTAATTAAAAGACAATTATGTTTTTACACAAAGCTAACTTCCAAAACCCCAAAATACACAAAATAATATTTACAAGTGCCCTGCGATGGACTGGCACCCCATTCAGGGTGTACCCTGCCTTCAGCTCATTGTACAGTCTAAAGCGGTTTGGCAAATGACATTTAAAATAATACATTACATTCAACGTCCTCATTAGTTCCCTAACACTCTGAAACAGACATTATTAGGATTAGTTATTAGGGTAACTTACACTGCTTTCATAAATAATCCTCCACAGGTGAGCCTGACCTCAAACTAGTGGTAAGAGGCAATCTTTACTCCCTAACAAAAATGAAAATAACCATCCTGCACATCCATACTATGCCGAACACACAACCATTGTATTGTACATGATACACAATGCATACCTATTATTCCAAGGGAAGTAATTCCAAGGGGATTTCCTGTAACAGCTGTGTGACACATTCTTTTGATGATTTGATCCTGGTGCAGTACAGACTGAACATGAAATTACTTTGTATAATTAATTATCTCCCTACAATATGTCAGCTTACCAGATTTTTGCAAGAACAGAAAAAAAGTTGAAAGCACAACTACCAAATTATGTAATTTTAGCACCTGTTCTACATGAAGAGAAAAAAGAATTGTTGGGCTGGAAAAAAATCAACCAAGAAAACATTCATTTTAATTAAGAATACAGTACGTGAGCTTTATGAAATTTGGGAAGTGTGTTCATATGTTCAGGTCTCTGTCCACCTATATAAAAATATTATTAAATCGTGTCCAAACAGACATACTGTACAGTAACCGGACACTGAAGATAAGCTAGTCTTCTCCATTGCAAAACGTAAATATAGTAATGCTAAATGCTAAAAAAATTAGTACTTTTATACTCTGACAGAGCAGCAAATTCATCAGAAACAGTTAGCAAGTAATAAAGTGTTTAAAAGACATTGTCTATATATAAAATAGGGGAAAATTTATATTACCTGTATACTTTAGAATTGCAGTAAAAATGATTAGACAGCATGATAAACAACAAAGACACCGGCAAATAACAGAGGTCAGAATGGAAATCCCAATGGCAGCATGTATAATTTCAAGCAGAAAAGACATAACTGATTAAATGTCAAGTTAATTTCAGGAGGGAGTTCCAATAATGGCAGAATTACCCTTTGCTACTGTATATCCCGAATCACATTCTCAGACAGAGACATACAATAGGATCTCCTAGTACACCTCCCTGTACAGTATCTCTTCAGGTAAAGGACTACATAAATATAGAGATCAGAGAAATGTCATGCACTTTCCCTTGCTAATGTATGAACTGTTTAATTTAAAATGCAAAATATTATGAATGAAGTTTATTTATATGGGATCTGGAAATGCATTTAAATCATTGCTGCAGAGTCTCTAAGCTAGAAAATGTCTGGAATGACTACCACTAAAGTAATAATTCTGTCTATATCTAAGTAAAAGATACCTGATACAATATCAAAGCAATACATTTATTTTCTAATAAAGATCATTTGCAATGCAGCAGCAGAAAGTGAGTTGTTGAGCATGTTATGGGAAAGGCAACATGGTTTCTAATTCAATAAATTTACTAAGACAGCATTAATACAGCTGTGAGGCAAATATTATGTTTAATAATGTCTTTAACTACCTCCTATAAAATGCAGACATCCATCTGTGGTAAAATATGAAGACTCTCTTCCAACTTAGCTTGAAACAGCATCTGAAACATTTCATTTTATAATAGTGCAATAATAAAATGCCAACTGGAGGCATGTGGAAGTGTGTCATTTCCTGTAAATCTGCATTGGATCTGGTGATCTAATACAACATGTACAATATCTCTGCTTTTTGAATCACAGAGAAAGAATTGGGAAAAAAAATGTACAGAAATTGACATCTTATCTTGTAGGTACTGTACATCGGTAGTCTCTCAACATAGCTCCATAGGTAAAATATGGTCAGTTGTAGTAGAGAACAATTTATATTTATGAAAAAGTACACTGTTTGACTGAAAGTATCATTTCACTTCATATTCAGTACAGTAAACTGTAGCAACCATACCCTATATTAAACATACAGTTTCTCAATATTTAGACTCTTCTCCTGCACGTATTCCATAACAAAATAGAAGCATTATTCAAGGGTATCAAAGACCAATTCCAATGTCAAAGGGAAATAAGGTCTCTGTTTCACAAGTTAAGCTTTCTGTTGCAGCAAAGTAGCCAGTTCCGGAGATTCTTTCAGTTCTTTAGTAGCAGAAGAAGATGGAAAAGAGTCTGTGCCCCTGACGTCTTGGAAGAAAATAAGCAATGGGGATAAGAAAATAACACACAAATCATCATAATATGGTATGCTTTGAGATATATTTTGAAACTGTACAGGTAAAACTTTATTATTGCTTACATTACTGACTCGCACACCCCTACAGTACATCTTAGCTAATACCCCCTTACTTTGAAGCTAGAAATGTGATAATATCCAGGTGTTACCCATTGTATCTAGATTCTTAAAGACACTTCATAACAATATGAAAACTGCTTCTCTGCCTCTTCAATGTCATTAAACAGTATCTCTGTTTATATAATCTATAAATCAGGTCTGTTACTGTATGTAGCTTGTGGAACAGCAGAGCTGCGTGTGCACTTAGTTGCAGAGGTACTGGGTTTAGATCTCAATGCAGCACTCAGACCAGAAGATTTCATTACAAATGCTGTTTGAACAGGGACCTTTCCACTACCCACACTGAGAGATACTCATAGCTGGTTTCTGATTGAAGGCCACTGCACAAAGCAGATCCATGCTAATTTCAAGACTGCCAGACTGGGATATGCAGCTCATGAGCAAACTTTATTTGACCAGCAAAGAATGCAATATGTGTATGCAGCTTAAAGCACAGAACTACTTCTGTGAACGATGAGTCAGATATTTAAGTGTACTGTGTGTGCTGTGGTGATACTGTGCTTGCTGGGTTCAGATAGCAGTGCAGTTCTCACACAACCAGGTGTGTCTCATTACACTGGGTCAGGTTGAAAACTATCCACTCAAAGATAAATGCAATTTAAGTCTTTGGAAAGGAATTGGACTACTTAACATTTCCAGATAAAGGCTTTTGTTTGGTAGCAGCATATAGAGGTAGAGCAGAAAGTGTCAGTGTCATATCCTATAAAATACATTTCATCATCAAATAAGACTTCAAAAATGTGATTTTTGAATTTTGACATTTGATTTTTGAATTGAAAATTGTGATCTTTGAAGAGGTTGTATTTTTATTTTTTTAATTTCCTTTGAGCACGAAGTTTTACCTCAGAAAAATGTTTTAATGAAAACCAATGCAGTATCTGGTCTAGTGTTATAATCAGTTAGGTTAGGTGTTCCCAAACCTGGTTACTGTACCTGCTGAATTGCTTGTTCCAGCTGAGCTCTCAATGACATGCTCGAGCCCTTAAGTTACCCAATATTATAGTTAATGTAATTGACTTGTTTTCAGTTCATTTTTTTTTTCTACTTTTCCTTTTAAATATTAGCTTTTGATGTCAATATAATGATTTAATAATTTCAATAACAAAATAATGCCCTTGACACAGGAGTCTGAAAGGATTAAAAACAATACAACATTATTCTTGTTTCCTTCTTCAGTATAGTTGTACTTTAACAGCTAGCTGCTTTCTTGTACCTCAACTCTGATAAGTATTTGAATTTTTACATTATGGCTCTACACTATGAACACCAAAAGAAAGGAAATGACAGGCTTCTATGAGAAGCTGTCAAGATGAACACAGTCCCATTTATAACAAAAGGTTGCCAGCTCTTGACTGAGGGCAAACATAGTACATAAATCACCACCTGCTGGTTTAGTTTGATTAAATCTTATTTCCATGCAATGCTTCTGAACAAAGATAATTGTGATTGAGATTATAACAAAACCTGCTAATGCATTTTTGGGTTTTATTTTTCCTTTTATTCATAGATTTAAAAATAATCTCCTTCTACTGAGAATGAGGCTACTGATATGTTATTTCAGATATGCCATGAAAAAGGTAAATTTTCAAGATAGGAAATCTATGTTTTGACATCCATCAATAAGATATTCAGTATTATAATTACTAGAGTATATTGTTATACTGAACATGTTAGGGCTGTGAAGATTAAAGATCTCTTCAAGCCCATTGTTTCCCGTTTCACCTCTGACGGCCATGACCACTCTAATCTCTCCG